TAACTTAATACAGAAATTTGCTTTTGTTATGTCCTTTATGGGTCTCAACATTGAAAGAATATGCTAGAGTACAGATCGAGCCTGATATTACTGATGCTCAAACTAATGTTATCGGTACTGGTTCAATGCAGAATACCGCACAAACTGATGTTTTTGATTCTATGTACAGTGGACTAACTAGAGAAGTTATTCTTCCGGTAATTTAGGTCTTCTTAATTTCGTTTCTTCAATGATTGTCAAGATTAAATCGACCCGTGTTATTAATTATTTGGCCTATGTTTTTTTTGACAGTATTACAACATGTCATGGCTAACTATTTTGGGTGCAGTCGCAAGTTTGGCTCAAAAAGAACATCCATATATTGTTCTTGCACTTAATGAAGAAGAAATTACTACAGATGACAATGATATAAGCAAATATGATGATGATGATGATTTTGATGATTTTGGTGATGACAATAACGAATTTTCTGATGATTTTGCTTCCTTTTCTCTTGAAAAAGAGCCAGAATCAAAAAAAGTACCTACAAAATTCTTCTTTATACTCTTCGGACTTTGTGTTGAAGCGTTGTCAAATACATTTGGTGGAGGTAGTAGAAACAGCAGTGTTGGAAATAATATCGAAAATCAAAAGATTGTTCGTACTTGCATTGATGCTCTTAAAGCTTTTTTACGACCGGTAGTTGCAGGAAGCGCATTTCTTGATGAATATGTTTTTATAGAGTTAATTAATTTATTTGATAGATTGGTACTTACTGAAGGGTTTAAAGTACAATACGATATTATACAAATTATTGGTAATATTATTAAAGATTTTGGAGTAGCATATATCTGTAAAGATATACCAAAAAAAAGGTTACTACTTGTTTTGTCTTTTTTTTTAGAGACTTAACACTTTTGATAGCTTATTTATTTTCTGATTATAAACGTTAACAGCATGAAAATAAATGGACATGGCGAAGATGAAGCGGCCGTTGAATTCCCTGAAACAGAAACAATACTTTTTCACATATTACGATTATTGGTCAATATATTTTTCCAAAAAATTCCGTCGCTTTCGAACCGTCCAG